TTTCAACATATGTTTAGATTTGTATTCTGTGTGTTTGGGTGTTTTACCTGCACGGAGGTCTGTGCACAACTCACAAGCCTGGTGCACATGTAAGGCCAAGAAAGGCCATGACAGACAACGGAGCTAGACTTATGGATGGTTGTCAGCTGCTGTGTGGTGCTGGGAATCGAACCTGGGTCCTCTGGAAGAACAAACAGTACTTTTAACTACTGAGTCATCTATAGGGTACCGTTCTTTTTCTTTTGCTGACAGGGTCTCACTATGTGGCCCTGGCTGGCCTTGAACTTGCTATGGAGACCGGTCCTACCTAGAACTTACAAAAATGTGCCTGTTGGTGCTGAGTGCTGGCATTAAATGGGTGTATTATCACCTCAGACAAGCCCCCCATATTTGATTCCCAGCACTGAAGAAGTATCCAGAACCCAGGGAAATCTAATGGAAAACAAAATATGGCTACACTTTGGACTCATTCAGACATTTGTCCAAAGGAACGATGCTTGAACCCATTCACACATTCTGATTGAATTGTTCTGGAAGGAAATGCAAGCATGGGTAGCTTTCAAGCCTCTCAGGTGCTAGTGCAAGGTGACTGTCATGTTCAATGTTGTCTAGAGTCTTCTAGGTGACAGGCCACAGACACAGACTTATGGAAACACGGCCTAGCTTCTATGTCTGTCATCCTGTGTCAGCCCTGTGAGGGCTCCCCTGAGTGGGGGTAGCCTCAGAGAATGTCTGGAGATATTATCTTGGTCACTTAGTACATGTGACAAGACCCATCTTCGGTGAGGGTGGGACCTTCCCCTGACCAGCCTGGACTGTGCAGTGGAGAAAGCACATGGAGGGTTCTGTGGCCTGGGGATGTGATGTGAGCGGCTGCCTCAAGCTCCTGAAACCGTGGCCTCCTCAGCATCACAGACTCTACCTACAGGGTTTCTCTATGTAGCTTTGGCTGTCTTGGTACTAGCTCAGTAGACCAGCCTGGCCTCGAACTCAGAGATTAGCCTGCCTCCACCTCCTGATTGCTGGGATTAAAGGCGTGTGCCACCACTACCTGCTGTGTATGTGTTTGATTTTTTGTTATTCCTAGTATTTTATGCTCATTTTGCAGCCCTAACTGGCATAGAACATAAAGAGATCCACTTGCCTTTGCCTCCTGACTGAGTCCTAGGAGTGAACTGTGGAGGCACTCAGCTTCATTTTGTTGTGTTTGGAACAGATCATATTGTAACACAGGCTGTTCTTGGATTCCCCACAGTCCAGGCTGCCCTTGAACTCCTGATCCTCCTTCCACCCCATCCCCAGTGCTGGGATGCCAGATGCTACAGCCACACCTAGCTGAAGTGTTTCAGTTACCTTGTTTGCTTTTGTTTAATAAGTCTCGATTTGAGTGCATCTATCCTCATGGCTAAGCTCAAGATACGCACTTTGGTAAGGTACTACAGGAAGGACGCTGTCAGGCTTTTCAGTCTAGCATGTAGGAGGCGGGATGGTGAAGTTCTCACAGCTGCCATGGTAACTTGGAGAGAGGGAGGGATCACAGGGCCTCAGACCCCACAACAAGAATCAGAATCTGTATTACAGCCACGGAGCTGTGGGACCCATGGGGCTGTGGGACCCACGGAGCAGCCTTGACACAAGAGTAGGATGGAGGTTGATCCAAAAAACCAAGTAGCCCTGTGTCTACCTGCTCCTTTGTCTCACCAGAGGAAGTCACACAGCCAGCAGCCAGACTAAACTTCCTTTCCCCTTATAAGGTCATGGACAGCAGCACCTGGAATTCCTTCTCATGCAAATGAGGCATCCCTAAGCATCCTGACCCTGGCCAATGACCAGCTCACTCAGTAGCCCCTACTCAGCCTCCAAAGGCTTAAATAGGCTTTGTTCTCCCAACAAACGAAACCAATTCTCCAAAGCTTTTCCACAGTGTGTGTTCTTTGGCCACACACTCACCACAGACCAAGGTCCTGCCTGCACCCACCCACAGGGCTAAGCTTCCCTCTCTCTGTCAAGCCTGGTGCACAATGGGCCTGACTACCCTGAAGGAGAAGAGACACAGAGCAGCGTTACAGTAATGGTTTTGCTGGGCTGGAGAAACAGCTAACTAAGACTTATGACTTCTACCAGAGGGAGGCAGCAGGTGAAGGGGCTAGCCCATGGTCAGTTCAGGAATTAGCTTCCCTCCTTGTCTGTGATCCAGACCCCACTGCCTTAGTGTCAGAGAAGGAAGTGGACGGAGCCTGTCTTATTTCCACAGTTCACAAGGGGTTGATTTTCTTTTTTCTTTTTTGCTCAGAAGTGATTCTCACTGACGTGCTCCAATGGCAAGAAGAAAGAGAGAGGTCACAGCACCCAGGTCATCTGGAAGACAAGGGAAATCTCCCCAGGGGAGAGTGGCCATGTCTGTAATAGAGGCAGGAGGGAAGGCGTTAGGATGGCTCCTGGAAACATAGTGTAGAGTGAAAAATTATAGATACTGGGTATATAGAATTCTTTTTAGACATATAAAGTATTCTTTAGGCTTCCTTTATAAAGGCATGGAGAAACCGAGGCATGAAGCAAGTTAGGAATCTGGAAAGATCAGTCACCATTACTGGAACTGGCCTATCTGCAAAGAGTTAGGAAAAAATGCAAGTGAACTAGGTGGAACCAAGCTGAGAACCAAGTTGAGAACCAAGCTGGGAACCGCAGTGACAGGGCAAGGCCGAAGTAACAGGGCAGGACCACATTCTTGAGAAAGATAAGCATACAGAGAGTTTTCACCTGACCCTGACTCCAGTGGGTTGGGTTCCTTTGGAATGTTCCACTATTTTTATGTTACACCACCCTAACAACCCCTCACCCCTTCCCCATTCCTTGGTTTGTGGTTTTTCCCTTTAAAACCCCTTTCAAACTGGCAGTCGGGGTCAATTCAGCTCCTGCGTGGGCATACGAATTGACCGGCAGCTAGTTGTCACGCCCTAATAAATAACCTCGCAATTGCTCCGGTACATGGTGTCTCGAGCAGATTACTGGGTGGTCGCGACTTTCTGAGACTTGAGAGAGGGTCTCCCCTCTGCGGAGGTCTTCAATAGTTGCCTGAGGCCTGCCTAGCTTCTTCAGGCCTATCTCAGGCAACTCTTTTATAATTAAGAATAGTAAAGATGTAAGACATGGTTTGGTCTGAGAAGTAGAGATGCCCTCTGTAAACATACAGAAAGAAGCCTTAGTCAATGACCCCAGGGTCGCCTGGTTGATCAGGACCTGTGGTGGAACTCACTACTTAGCCACTGGGGTCACAACTAGTAAACAAATAACAGACTTTGTAACTACTATTCCCCCACACAGGCCTTTGCTCCTGAAGTTGGGGGGAGGAGCCATGAAGATAGATCATTTGTTTCTTTAGAGGTTTTTTTTTTCTGCTTCTGTCAAAAGGATTCCATCATTTTCATTTTAGGATAAAAATCTGAGGCCAAGAATCGAGAGAGGGATTTCTTAAGTCTGTGTGGTTTATCAGAGGTCTGCCCGGCTGCTGGATTTCAAGTCTAACACTAACTATGCTAACAGTTACAGCAGAGACACATGAAAACAGTCTCTCTGTGCAGATTTTTGTCAAAGAGACCTTTGATTCTTACATTAAGTCCTTAATGCAATAACAACATGAGATCCCTCCCCCCATCGCCAAAGAGAAACAGGGCACAGCCCATGCCAACCAGCCCATGAGAGAAAGCCATTGGAAGGAGAGAATAAAGATAGAATGAAAATAAATAAATTAACTGTATGGAAAAGTCAATTCCACTGAAAGCTGGTTTTTGACAAATGATTAATATTGACATTTTTAAGTAGATGGCCTTTCTAAGGAAACGGATTAATATTAGTTAAACTAGGAGTGAAATTTGAGACACTGCTAATCCATATTTCGGAATAACAAAAATTCCACGAGCAACAAAATGTATGATGTGTGTGTCACATTTGCAATACATGTCTACTATTGCAAGGTCAGAAAAATATTTCTTCAGGTGGTACAAACTTGTCTGTATAGGATCCTAAAGTTTTTACAACTTGCGAGACCAGTAAGCCAAATCTGCAAAAGCCCAACAGACTGCACATGCACTAATGAGTTCGATTTCTCTGCACCGATATTAACCATGAACAACTCGCTTGCAGTTTTCGTCACACACATAGGGACAGAAGTAGCATGGTGGTCAGTTACAAGGGTCTTGAGGGAACAGAACAGATGTGGAACCTTTGTAAACAGTCAATATTCCCGTTCACACAACTACATGAGTGTGCTTGATGCCAGTGAGCGCTTTGCTTCAAAATGACTAAAATGGTCAGTCTTATGAATGTGTATTACCACGCCAAAAACTGTTAGGAGAAAACACGATCTTGGGCAAGGTCTCACCTTAAAGGGTAGCCTTGGACAGGAAGCTCAACCAACTCCCTCCTCTCACCCACGGATTTACATATGTGGACAAAAAACTCTACAGACCAGAACCGCCCATAAGCATTTTATGTCTCCAGTGAAACATGTCCTGTCCAATTTCCTGTCAGTATTCCAACTTCACACGGATGACTGGGGTCTAGCAGCATTGGCATTTAATATGAAAAGCAATTTGAGCGTGTGAGAGAATGTGTTTAGCTCTCTGCAGACAGCTCACCATTTTAACGGAAGACTCTGAGTGCCTACAACTTTTGGTGTGTAGGGAGTGCCTGAACTCTGTTCCTTCTGGATCCTGAGGGTGTGGTTTGTATTCGATTTAGAACTAAAGCCCTTCTTAGCCCCTTTGCAATTCAGATTCCTACTCTTAGTTCTGTTCCTATAATGCTGTCTTTCATAAAATCATTGCCTCATTGTGTCTAGATGGGACTGACCTGTGTTTTATTTCGGGATTGCAAGTGCCTGTCACCATGCTGCCTGTCTCTGTGTCTGCACTAATTGTCCTCTCCCTTCAACCTTTATCCACATAGCACACAAGTGAGAAAGGCAACCTCCAGTCTGCAGTGGAGGAAGAGGGGAGAGGTCACACACGGATCAAGAACAAGGAGATGGGGTTACTCTTCTTGGAACTGAAGGAGTTGGAGACCTCACACTGATACTCCCCTGCATCCTTCAGCCTGAGGGGAGCGATGCTGAGTCTGTGCTTTTCAGGTGATAGGACCATCCTTTTGTTGAAATCCAGGGGCTTGTTATTGAAGGTCCAAGTGACGTCAACTCCAGTGTCAGGTGACACACACTCGAAGGTTGCAGACTTCCGTCTTTCCACTATAATGCTCTTGACCTGGAGGTAGGGCTGTGTCAAAATCTCTGTGTAAACAGAAGAGAACAAAGGATATTCATCCCTAAAGATCTCAGACAGCCCCTCTTTGCTCTGAGGCACTTAATAAGGCCTTCTCATGGGGATTCAGAGGTGAGCCAGTGTCTTGTGCTTGCTGTAGCCACCCGTGGCCTGTACCACCTCACTCAGCTGCTGTGTTCCCTGGGTCTCTGTTTCCCTATAATAGGACACATGGTGAATGATCATTGCTATGTCTGTGAGTTAACCTTAAATAAGAACAAGAACCTGACCTTAGAACAAGGGAGCTGTCCAAATCAGGGGAGTCTGTTACCCTTTGCCTAGCTATGAGATTTCCCTAAGCTGGATCCATGATGATAATCTGTTCCCATGAGAAGATCTGGCTGAAGGCCTGGGCACCTGTCCAGCTCAGTCTCCATGCTCAGTCTCAGCAGAAGGAGATGCCAAGGTTGGGGGGAATCGGGGGACCCATCTTATATGTGGCTGTGATGGCGTGGGCTGGCTGCTTACACAAGACAATAAATCTTAGTTCCATCTCAGCTCTAACAGAAAGTCCAATCCCAGCCCTGAAGAAGAGGTCTCCAGGGTCACCTGGGGTAGAGTCTGGGACAAGGTCTGGAGCCAGGGCTTCCTGGTGCTCACGTCTGTGTGAGAATCCCATGTTTTCCTAACCCATGCCCTGCTGGAGTCCCTCAGGGTCTACCCCAGGGCCATGTTCATAGTGAGAGCTCTGTAGGGTGTTGACTGAGTCTAATATTCCTTTGCTGAGTTACCGAGCGCATGTCCTGCTTTCTGCATAATGGTTTTGGTGATGAAGTTAAATCTATTGCGGGTTAACTTCCCCACGGGTGTCCTGCACTAAATACAGAATAAGCCTGAAACTCCTGTGTGTTGAGGGTATCATCCCACCCAGCACCTACAGGTCCCAGACAGTCACTTACTGAACACTTGGAGGTAGGCATGTGCTATTTCACACTGATAGTAGGTATCAAAGCTTTCTAGGGTGTAGATCCCTGTGTCTTCCTGGGTGACGTTCTGGAGCAGCAGGGATCCATTGGTGTAAATCCTCTCCCTGCCACTGTATTTTCGCCCCCACTTAAGTGACTGAGAGGCTGTTTCATAATGTGCAATTTTAAATTCTTCAAAAGCACGTTTCCCCTTGTACCAGAAAAAGGCCTGGGGCTTCTCTGACTGATTATCAACTCGTAGAAGAACATTTCCCCCTTCAGGAAGAGAGGGAGGCAGAGTCTCAATAGATAGGTGGGCCACGGAGGTGTTTGAGCTCCAGCAGGCTAGCAGAAAACCTGGAAGGAAAGAGAAAACCCCTGTCAGTACTGGGCCCACATGTCCTGTGGATGTGTGATCTCCACTCAGCCTAGGTGTGTGGGTGGGGTAAACCCATCCTACTTGGTGCAATAAGGTAACATAAACCCCATCCCCACAGTGCCTCTGGAGCTGTGTCCTCTGCATAGACCTCTTTCCTCAGGGGTCTGCATAGCTCCCCACACCCCACTGTCATCACATCCCTGCTCACTCTCAAGAGTATTTTGGGGATGAGGGTAATTTCCCTGACTTCCTTCTCTGGAGACCCCAGGTCATACATTCCTCCAGAAGGCTCTGTTCCCTTTCGGTTTGCTGTCAACTCCTGACTGTACCTCTTAGAAGCCTTTGCTCCTCTGCCCTCCAGTCCATTAGAACAAAGGCCTGTTGGGACTAGAGAGATGGCTCAGTGGTTAAGAGCACGGGTTGCTCTTCCCAAGGACCTGGGTTCAATTCCCAGCACCCACATGGCTTCTTACATCTGTCTGTAATTCCAGTCTCATCGGATCTAATGCCCTCTTCTAACCTCTTCCAGCATGAACTGCATAGACATACATACAGGCAGAAGGTCATACACATAAAATAAATGAAATCTCGTAACAAAGACTCTGTGAAGTTGCTCATTGTGAGAGGCCTCATGCCTGGGACAGGCTTGAATACCTGTGGATGAGTGGACGAAAGATAAATGAGTGTATCCAGGACCTGGGTACCCAAGTTCATTTGTTCGTGTGTTTTTACAAACTCCTCAGTTTCAAAGCCAATGAGAGTGTTTGGGGGTGGGGCAGGTAGGTGGGGTTCTGATGCTAAGGTCCTGTTCTCCAGTTGGTCCTTGATTTATCAGTAAAGATGCCAGGGGCCAATTGCTGGGTGGAAGGAAATAGGTAGGGCTTTTGGGTTGAGATGCGGGAAAGGAGAAAGATTTTCGACATGCTTCGGAGAGAGAAAAGGACCAGCCATGTGAGATCTCAGAAGGAGCGGCCATAGGTCACATGTTTCCCCAAGCAGGAGATTAGAAATGCAAATAAGCAGAGGGCAGTTTGGGGTTGCTGAACAAGAGACGGTAACTGAGCAACTAAAGTTGAGGGCAGATTTAGGGTGCAGAGCTGGGAGTGAAAAGAAAGGCGTGAGATAGCTGAGGAAAGCTTAGAAGAGCCCAGCAATTGAGCCAATAAAGCAAGTTGAAATATAAACTAATGTGAGTGTGTTTCATCCTCAGATCTAAGGGATCCTGGGCAGGGCTGGTAGCATGGTCCGTCTGGAGTTAAAAGTGGAGGAGCAAAAACTACACATTACAGTGTTTAATACCCTGGGTTGATTAACAATTTTCCCACTTATTTGCATATTTGCTGTGTGTGTGTGTGTATATCTGTGTGTGTGTGGGTCTGTGTATGTTTATCTATGTGTGTCTATGCATATGGTTGTGTGTGAGTGGGTGGGTCTGTGTGTGTTTGTATATGTGGATTTGTGGGGGGTCTCTTTGTGGGTCTATGTGTCTCTGTGTGTGTCTGTGTGTGTATTTGTATGGAATCTGTGTGTTTCTGTGTGCGTATCTGTGCGTGCCTATGTGCATGTCTATGTATGTGTGCCTATGTTTATGTGTCTGTGTGTGTATCTGTGTGTGTGTGTGTCTATGTGTATGTGTCTATGTGTCTGTCTATGTGTGTGTGTATCTATGTGTATGTGTCTATGTGTCTGTCTATGTGTGTGTGTGTATATGTGTCTATGTGAGTCTGTGTGGGTCCATGTGTTTCTGTGTATGTTTGTGTGTGTTTGTGTGTGTGTATGTGTGTGTGTGTGTGTGTATGAGTGCTTGACATGAAATGTCACAAAGCTTAATCGGAATTCCAGATCCTGTCCACTACTTGGCAGAGGCCACCCTACAAAGTGGGAGATGCTGAGTTCTCCTGACAGCAGAAAATGGAGCCAACTTACTCTTTTTCTCCAGGGAGAATGCTGTTTTGTGTGGACCACTCGGACCAGGGCAGGTAAGGAATATTCAAACAGGAAGCATGAGAGCCATGGAAGGGATGGCAGGTAAACTCTCCATGGACTCCCTGGCTCATACCGTGATGACCGTTCTGACACACATCTGAGTCTTTACATCCATGGGGCTATGCTAAATTCAGATGCTGAACCAGGTCATCAAATGTGGCCCAACAGGCTACCTAGACACCTGTCTAACACTCTCCTCATGTGACAGTGCTATTACTAGTCCCTCACCCAGAAACCTACCGTCTACTGAGGAACACAAAATGCTGTCCAGATTCTATAAACTAGAAGAATCTGTGTCCAACCCTTTAGGGTTGTCTTCTGGGGAAGACAGCTTAGATGCCCTTCCTCTGCATCTCTCCACATCCTCCAGCTTTTCTTTCCTGAGTGGTTTAACACAGCATCCTTGTCTTCCTAGATAGTGTGATCTTTTCCATGCTGTGCTATACCACATGCCCTGAGACAGTGTATAAATCTTGCTGCCTCAAGGAAAGAGCTTTATCAGTGTCCGCCATCACACGTCAGACCTCTATTCTGTTGACACAAAAGCTCTTACATCTTCAGGGGACAAGATTTACCCCAAATCCCATATTCTGAGGTGGAAGCAGTTTGTCAGGACCTTCTTTTATAGTAATGTAGCAAAGAAAATCTTAAATCAAGGTCTTTTTTTCAACAACATTTGTCAACATGAAGTAGGCAGTTATAACCAAGCTGAGGGATCTCAGTTGTAAGACTCTGACACCATCCGACAGCTCTTAGCCTTTGGCTGGTGAAATCTAGGGTTCTATTAAGTTAATGCATCCCAAGAGGATTTTAGTCTGTTAGTCACAGGATGCTAGGTCTGACACAAGTGGGCAAGCAGAGGATGCTTAGGGAGCTAAACTGCAGTTAGACTCTGGACCTACAACATTCCAACCTCCGCACTTCATTATGGCCATGCTCAGTCCATCCAGCTTTGCAGACACAGCCTCCCTCTAGGAATCCCCTGCACAGCACCTCCTTTGCCCAAGTTCCACATTTATGCACGGGGCTACCCATTTGTGATGGTTTGTATGTGCTTGGACCAAGGAGCGGCACTATTAGAAGGTGTGGCCCTGTTGAAGTGGGCGTGTCACTGTGGGTGTGGGCTATAAGACCCTCATCCTAGCTGCCTGGAAGTCAGTATTCTGCTAGCTGCCTTCAGATGAACATGTAGAACTCTCAGCTCCTCCTGTACCATGCCTGCCTGGATGTTGGTCATGTTCCTGCCTTGATGATAATGGACTGAATCTCTGAACCTGTAAGCCAGCCCCAATTAAATGTTGTCCTTATAAGAGTTGCCTGGGTCATGGTGTCTGCTCACAGCAGTAAAACCCTAACTAAGACAATATTAGAACACAATGTCCCTGATAGCTACATGGTTCCTAGGAACTGACGTAGACAAGCATGGATAGCAGCAGGACAGCAGCCTTCAGGAGATAGAAGGAGCTGGTAAAGGCATTAAGGAACACATCCTGGGTCTGTGAAAACCATTTGTTCTCAGGGTCCATATCTCACTTCTTGTATTTTTTCTTCTCTGTCTCACAGAACTTCTCCACGGGATGAGGCTACATCAGTATGACAGTATCTCTTATATTCTACAAGACTGGAATTTATATTAGACTCAAGTTAATAATACACCTTGAGGTCACTTAAGACATATTAGCGGTTCTCAACCTGTGAGTCCTGACCTCCTTCCGACTTGCATATCAAATATCCTATAAATGAGATATTTACATTATGACTCATAACAGTAGCAAAATTATAATTATGAGGTAGCAACAAAATCATTTCACGATTGAGGGTCACCATAAAGTGACGAACTGTATTAGAGGGTCACAACATTCAGAAGGTTGAGCACCTCTGCTTGAGACAGATGTCCTACTGTGCACTCAGTCTGTTTAACTTGTCTTTAAGAGAATAACTTAATGGGGCTGGAGAGATGGCTCAGCAGTAGTGATCTTCCAGAGGTCCTGAGTTCAATCCCCAGCAACCACATGGTGGCTCACAACCATCTGAAATGGGATCCGATGCCCTCTTCTGGTGTGTCTGAAGACAGAGACAGTGTACCTACATATATAAAATAGATTTTCTTTAAAAGGATCTAGATTTTAAAAAGGATCTAGATATGATTCTCCTGTGCTTACAATTTTACAGACTGTAGGAAATCTCCACCCATTCTAGATGGTTTAAGCAAATCCACCATCACTTTGCATTATTTTTTCTTTTGTCCAGTGTGATCTTATAGCTATGAGCATCAGTCCATGAAGATGGACCAGCCTGAGCCCCCAGGAATGTCATCCCTGAGGGGACAGAGGCATAGATAACTCTGCTGTGTCATAAGCAGCTGTGTGAGGAAAGTCCCTAAGCTTTAGGGACCTTGACTCAGGACAAATCAGGCTTTAGGCTTCAGTGCGAAAGGGAATTTTAGGACGGGCTGGAGAAATAAAGATATTTTCATGTAGCTCATATTATGAGCTAAACTAAAAAACTAAATTAAAACTAAACAAAAAAAGAAAAAGAGCAGTCCATGGTCTGTCTGTGCAAGGGGGCCTGCTGAGGACGAGAGCTTTCTCCACAGAAGACATTTCACACAACATGGACTCTCTCTCTTTGTTTTGGCTTTTATTTTTGAATGGGCCATGACTTTTTTGCCCTCTGATAACAAATTTTGCCGTTTGGAGATTCAGAAGGAGGAGGCAATGTCAGAGAGGAAAGTAGGAAGTAGACTTGGAACCTATCATAGTTCTGCTATGACACCACTTTTAAACAATTGATTTTTGTCAGGTGATGGTGACATATCCTTTAATCCCAACAGAGGCAGAAGCAGGTGGATCTGTGAATTTGAGGCCAACCTGGTCTACAGAGTGAGTTCCAGGTCAGCCAAGTCTGCACAGAGAAACCCTGTCTTGAAAAACCAAAGTAAAACAAAATGATTTCATACAAAAATAATTTCATGCTTATTTTTAGTATCTGCTTGGACCTCACATGCAGTTTTTATAGTTCTTGCTAATTTTTTAATTTCCTATTTTATAATGTATGTCATTAATATTGTACCAAAAACAGGCTGCCTATTTGTTACTTAAACATTTTTAACTGCCAATGACTGTTAACTAATTGCACTAAATCAGCCAATTTACAGGTAGTCAATGTCCCCATTGAGGGACTAAGATTTTACTATTTTTGCTTTATTCCTTTAAGGTCCTATTTCACATTGTTTTAAATGGTCCCTATCCCTTGGGTATCTTCCATAAACACATCCCTTTCTCACCAACATTTTTTTCCACAATGTCCTCTTGCCCAGAGATCCTGAGCGATCCCAATGTGAAGCATCAATGGTCCGATCCCCCTTCTGCGCCCATGAACGGCTCCAATCCACAAAGCCTGCACCCTCCATTTGCAGGCTTATGTGTACCCTACTTCCCCCAGTCTCTGGTAAGAAGTATCCCCGAGACCATAGAGACCCCTCTTTGGACTCCAGCTGTCAGTACACAGGAAAAATACAACAGGTAGTGTTGACCCGGTTTGAATAAAGTGTAACCCGACTCTCCCAGCCTTGATATTTCCTGTCCCCCAAAGCTTCCAGCTGCACAGCCCCTGTCGCGCCTCTGTGTCCTCTCCCCTCAGGATTCAGGAAGAAAGTGAGTCTCCTTTCAGGGCCTCTTGTCCTCTGAGGTCCCCTCCTGCCAGCCGCTGTCAGGGCTTGTCTCACCTGTGAGCAGGAGCCCCTTGAAGAAAAGACGAGGAGGGGACGCCATGGTCTCTGCGCCTGCTTGCCTCATCTCCAGCTCTGCCTCACACCTGTGCTGCTCTTATTCCTTCACGCCTGAGCCATGGGAGCCCCTCCCAGGGTCACAGGACTGTGGGTCATGTCGTGTCTCATCCCATGCCTACTGCTTCCTGTCCCTTCCAGGGACAGTTTACAGCCATCATCCATGGAACTCTTGGAAACCAAGAGGCGGGAACCAAAGCAGAGTCCATGGAGGAATTATGCTGATGCCTTACTTCCCGGCTCATGTTCACCAATATTTCTTAAACAGTCTAGGCTCAACTACCTATGGCTGAGAGGTCCACATGGGGCTGTGCCCTCCCACGTCAATCGGTAATCATGAGAATGCTCCCCAGACATGCCCTCAGGCCAGTCTGATAGAGTCTCTTCCCAGGACTGTCACCTTTAGAAGTGGCAGTCTTTAAAAAATATGCGTCATACCTTAAAAATTCTATATCTTGAGAGCACTGGCTACTCTTCCAGAGAATCCAAGTTCAATTCTCAGCATCCACCTGGCAGCTCACAACTGTCTGTGAATCCAGTTCCATGGGATCCAACACCCTTAAGCAGATTTACAGGCAGCCAGGCAAAGTGGCACTACATATAAAATTTAAAATGTTCTATATGAGCCAGGCAGTGGTCACACCACACCTTTAATCCAAGCACTTTGAGATGTAGAGGCAGGCATATCTCTGAGTTTGAGGACAGCCTGGTCTACAGAATGAGTTCTAGGACAGCCAGGGCTACACAGAGAAACTCTGCCTCAACCCCCGCTATACAGACACCTCATTAATCTTTATCTCATTTCAATATCCAGTATCTTATTTATTTATTTATTTATTTATTTATTTATTTATTTATATGAGTACACTGTCGCTGTTTCCAGACACAACAGAAGAGGGCATCAGATACCTTTACAGACGGTTGTGAACCATCATATGGTTGCTGGGGATTGAACTCAGGACCTTTGGAAGAGCAGTCTGTGCTCTTAACCACTGAGCCATCTCTCAGCCCCAATATCCAGTATCTTAACTGTTGGCTCTTTTAGAATAAAAAACAAGCTATTACATTCTATTTCAAGAGGAAATACCAAGTCATAAATACAATTACATTTATGCAAAACTGAAATCTATGAGTGTAGCTCAGATCCTACAGCTCAGTGGCTCTCATGTGGGACTCAATCATGATGTCCTAGGTGCCACAGTACACTGGGAGTCCCCGTCTCCATGTTTACCTTCTGCAACCGACACAGTTTGCCTCCTTGGCTCAGGCTAGCCCCCTTCCACACCTGTTGTCCTTGGTATTTATCTCATGGTCCCAATATCTCCAAAAAGCCGGGGTCTTCACTGTAACTGAGACGTCACTTTCACCAATGGCTTCCTCACCTCTCTTCTAGAAAATTCTGACCAAAATGAGCTTGGGAGGTAAAGAATCTATTCCACCTTACATTCCATCACTGAGGGAGGCTGGGGCAGAATCTCCAGGTGAGAAAATGCTTTGGTAAGTCATTTTAGATGTCACTATGTTTCTTCTCCTTTCTTTCTTCCTTTCTTTCTTTCTTTCTTTCTTTCTTTCTTTCTTTTTTTTGTAGTTTAATGTATTTTAATAGTAAACTTACAGGAGCTGCACAGAAGGCAGAAAACACTAAAAACATATTCTTACATGTAGGACAACTCAGTTAGAAAAGTATAATGAAAGGATGAAATCTACTGTATGATAAAAATGCTACAAATACCGTTTAGTTGCCCTCAATAAGAAATTTACTTTTTTTTTAAAATCCAAATGCTGACATTGTCCAGATTTTTTTTTTTTTTTTTTGGTTTTTCAAGACAGGGTTTCTCTGTGTAGCCCTGACTGTCCTGGAACTCACTCTGTAGACCAGGCTGGCCTCGAACTCAGAAATCCTCCTGCCTCTGCCTCCCAAGTGCTGGGATCAAAGGCGTGCGCCACCACCGCCTGGCTAGTCTAGAAAATTTTAACAGGCTTATTTATAGTTGTTATAAAGTTGAACTGCTCAGATGTGTTCACTGAAACATTCTGCTCGTGTTAATGCTCTACATCTTGCATTTGTATAAAAAACTTACACACAAATGAATGTGGAGAAACTGCCAATATCTGACTATGCCCTCTGTGTTTCCACTCACAATCATGTACTTAGGTGCCTTTGACCCCATAGAAAGAATGTCTAACATTCAGAACTACTGATAACTGGACATCAGATCTAATGCTTCGATTCGATCAGGAATCTGCATGTCCAAACACTAAAGAGCTTTTCTCCAATTGGTTTTTGATTGATTGATGCTTTTGACCGATCAGTGAAGATGCAAGTGGCCAATGGCTGGGCAAAGGGAGAGGGGGCTAGACCCTTAGAGTTGTGCAGGCTAGGATGCAGGGGTGGGGAGAAGGAGAACCGCCATGGCTTGGGGGAGAGAGATGGATCAGATTTAGAGCTGCAAAGGGGAAATCATCCAAAATGTAGGAGGAAAGGGAAAGCAGACCCGGGAAGGGCTGCCTAGAAGCATCTTGGACAGCAAAGACCAACGGGCCCCACATAAGGTAACAAGGTAGCAAAGTTAAAAGTAGATTTAGAAGGTGTTGAGCCAGGAGTACCAGAGGGAAAAGGATGCTAGCTGTGGGAGACTTAGAATCACCAAGGCTTTGAGTAGTCAATGCGTTTTAAAAATAAGCTAAGGTGTGTATGTCTTCCGTTCAGGGATCCAAAGAGCCCGACCCACCAGGAGCATAAAGAGGAGTAGCTAACAACTCCAAGCAACATATGGCTCTCAATGTGGTAGGCTAGAACCTGTTATTAAAAATAATTAAGGAATTCTCTGATGGAATACATATATGCAATGATATAGTTTTGGAGGAGGGAGAATTAGTTTCTCAGTGAGCGGAGTCACGAGTGGTGGCTCCCAGGAAACCTTGAAACTAGAACAAAGGATTTTCCCTGGGCCCTTTGAAAAGGATTCTAGCTGCCTCGGAGAGCCTTAGCTGAGACACTGGAGCCCCTGCTGTGCAAACAGGCTGCCTGGTTCCCTGACAGGTGCTAGGAGAGAGACAATGAGAAGCAGACAGTAAAAGCTGCCTGCCTCCAGTCAGCAAAAAAAAAAATCACAGAGATTTATAAAATTGATTTGTTTTTAAGGATAGAAGGGTATATAATGGTAATTGTTTAAATGTTCTTAAATATACAAAGACATTAAGCTCCATAGACGGGAGAACGTAGGGAGAGTAAATGAAAAACTGCTTTAAAGAAATTTAAAAGTCTTGCCAGGGCAAACTCTCAAATGGGTTCGCATAGGATTTCTGGGATTGCTTTTGTCTGGTATGACATAAATAGAGCCTGGGAATAGGCGTATACAGTAAGTATATATACATGTATAAAATACTGAGGCTTTCAATCTTAAATTATAGGTCAAAAAGCAGGAGATGATGAAAAACCACTGTCTCGGGGGTTAATATTTGTTTAGACTGTTTTAATTGCTTTGAATTGTTTTAATTATCAAAATGTGTGTGGTTATGAGTTTGGTGGTTATATTAAAATTCCTCTGGGAGAGTGGTCAATCTACACCTCTAATGATTTCCGGTTACTGTACCAAGGACATGCTATTTTGGGAGAGAGGCTCTGCATTTGTGTTGACAAGAAAGGAGAAAAGGTTTTGGACCCCTTCCAGAGTATGACAGGGGATCAGATATGACAGGGGAAAGACCCCCTGAAGATCTCAAAAAAATTGAGAAAATCAAACAGGACAGGTAGCTTAGGAACAGCCCAGTAGCTGGCATAGACATAAAAATATCTCTAGCCAAAACGTCAGCTACAGTGAGACAATAAATGTTGTTGATTATGAAATCTTTAAGTTTCATCGTGCCATCCTTCACACGGCGTGAATGAAGACTTAACACAATTGGTTATTAATAAAATTTACTCATGAAAAAAGACAATTGCCTTTTGCCTGTGTAAGGGTAAAAATTAAAACAGCTCAGCAGAGACCACAAACAACTTGGCAAGACCGCAGGACAGCTTGCTGAGCTTGCTGGGAATAGCCATAATAAAAATATCAAGCCCCTCTAGGGACGAGGTGACCAGAAATGTAGAAACAACCAAAGACATATCTTGACCAGTCTAAACATGCCCAAGTGAGTAATGGGCCACCTGGTGTTTATCCTAGAAGGTCTGAGACTTCATGGTCAAAAATAGTGGGCCATCCAGCCTGTCAAAATGATTGCTTACGCAAAGTGCTGATGTTTGAAATATCCAATTATATGTAACCGCGCCAGAATTTCCCACGTTTCCCTTCCCCCTTGTGCTTCCCCTTATAAAAGTTCTAAACTTCCTGGGGTCTTCATCGAAATTCTCTCCCCTGCGTGGGATGAGTTTCGATCCAAGGGCCCTTGTTAGTAAACTGCCTTTTGCCATTGCATCAAGTCAGTCTCTCGTGTCTCCTTGGGTGCGCGCTAATTGGGACTTGAGATGGGGTCCTCTTTCTGGGTCCTTACACCTGCTCAAATCAGGAGCAAAATTTCATCCTCAACTGATCCGTGCACCCTGCACAATTCATACGAATATCTTAACGGTACTAAAATTTTGGTCGTGAGAAACATGTATTACAGAATGTACAGCTTTTGGCAAGATCCATCCTCACAGATGCTGGACTGACGCTGCCCAGAGACTTGCTTCCAAATCCGCTTTCAAAACTTGCTGCTGTCATTATTAGTGGCCCATCTTATGCCGGCCTACGATGAAAACCCGGTGTGAAATGGAATAAAGGGAGTGGTGATGTCAGGGCGTGGTCATGGGGTCTTTTCTCAGCAATAGAAACCCTAACTAACACAGCTGGCTACAGAGGCCCCATCAGAGACCTCCCTGGAGAGCACCTTTCCCTCCTCTCAGGACAGGCTAGCTTAAGAGATGAGTGTTTCCAGGAATCGTCCAAGGCCCTCCCTTATGCCTCTAGTACAGCCAGGGGCAGCCCCGCAATGGAGACT